GTGATTGGAGAGTGATTGATGACAATGTAAATGGAACAAGGATCTTGAACTACTGTTCAAGAGTCATTTCTTATTTATGATAGAGTCTCAGTCTTAAAGTAGTCTGTATGAATAGGATCTTTCAGCTGTGACTATAAAATTAGGCTGCCATTTATTTTGTTTTCAGTATTATGTATTGATACTGAACTTTGGGTTGGTTGGTTTTTTACATTTTTATTTGTAGAACTGAGCATATTTGCTTCCTAAAGTGGTAACAGTGAAAAGGAGGAGAATGAGGATGGCTCATTTAAATGACTGTCCACCTCAGCAGCAGAATTAAACCAAGTACGTAAAATAAACAGTCAAGAATCTCTGATTGGAATTAAAAGTTGTACCACTTCTTTGACCAGCAGATGTTGCTGCATTTATTGGCAATTAGTTGCAGAAAGGGTTTTGAAAGTTGTGAGTTGATTAAAAAAAGAAAAAGTCTTTATTCTTATTCAGAGTCCTAGGCCTCTGAAGTGAAGTGTCAGACTTTATGTGGTTCATTTGGATGTTGTGATGATTTAATTAAAGTCACAGCTGTTGGCATGAACAGCTTACATAAGAGTGTCCACTTTTGAACATCCTTCATGTTTACATTGAATTAGTTAGTGTGATAGAGTGAAAAGCATGAAAACATGAATCAAAAACCAAGAAGCCTAAAAAAAAGCAGAGTTGTATTTGGATATGCTATCTGAAAGACTCCAAATCCTAAACTGACCTCATGAATTTGAGAAACATAATGATTTTTCAGCACTCTGGCTTTACATACAGCATGCCAAGGTACAGAAACAGGACTCTTCATTAGATGTGTACTTTGTTGTGCTAAAATATTTTAAGATTGTTAATACTTTTGTTATCAATAGCTTCTACACTTTTGCATGTAGAAAGTGCTAAAGTGTTTTGTTTAAACACTTAAGTACACCTTAAGTCCTCTGTAATGGGGTGAAAAAAATTTTTAAGTAATTTTGTTTACTGGTGGTAGATGACTTTTAAATAATTCCATTTTTAAAAGTTGCAAGCTGCTGTGGAATTAAATGATGAAAAGCTTTTAAAAATTATGGACAGTTAAAAACCGCAGGAAGTATTTCTTATGCTTGAAAGTGGGCATTTTGAGTAGTGATTTTTGAGAAATGCATTCCATTTCTGAGCGACCTAATTAAAGGAAGCTCTGCCTCCATTTGTACAAAATTACAAACAGGACAAATTACTAAGTGACCAGCCAATACAATTGTTAGTGAAAGCCTAGAGAGTATAGGCCTGATTAACTGAACAAGCTGGATTGTTGCCATTTCAAAGGATTCAAAATGAAAAACATTTTGAAAATAAATTACATACCTTAAAAGAATGCAGAAGAAGAGATTTTAATGGAAATAAAATATTAATGCTTTAAAGAGGCAATGGACTGCATCGCGGAAATAATACAGTTTGATGGGTGATGATGATACGATAGAGAATTATGCTAAACCATTTTAGGAAAAACAAAGGCCTACAAGGTATGAGAAATATCTCTTGGCTCTCTGATTTGCATGTTGTAAGTGAAATGTAGTTCTGCCTTACTTTGAGTGTTGACCATGTTGGTTTATCTTTCTGTGTCACAGCTCCGTTTGAGTGCCCAGTTTTGAATCTTCACACCATGTTTCCACTGTAGTGCATGTAAGTGTCCTCCACTGTGTAGAGATGTGTTGTATAGGGTACATGGAAGTGTGAGGGATTAATGTGCTTTTAAATAAACCTGTGAACAAACAGGCTTAATTAAAGTTTATGAAATTGTCCAACCAAAACCCTTTCTATACCAATAGGAAGGGAATGCACAGTCAGTGTTTGATGTTCTTTCAAATATTGTTTGAACATTTAAAATCAAAGATATGTTGGCTGGAAGGCAGTTTTGAGGGTCATCCAGTCAGATCTGCTTGGAGCAGGACAGTTGTTCACACTGGATTAAGCCAGTCCCAGGTAAGTCTTTTGTAAGACCTTTGTAAGTCTTTAAGTTAAAAAGGTTTCTGCTTTCCAGTCCTTCAGTTTCTCAGTGCCACTTTGAAGTGAAGCTCTACTATTCAGGATGTCAAACATCCCTCTAACACAGCATCATCCACAAGTTTGCTGATCATACAATGGCCTGGAAGGGACCTCAAAGACCAACCCCTCTGCCATGGACAGAGACACCTGCTGTGTCATCATCCAAGTTATTGATAGATTTATTGGCCTGTGTCAGCCCCAGTAACAACCCCAGGGTACTCTTGTTACTGTTGTTAGCCAACAACTGAAGCAGCTTGAAGCCATCAATTCTGTCTGCCCAGACAGTTTTCAAACACTCCAACAGTCCATCTGGCCTCGGCTTACTAACATGCCATGGGAGGTGGTGTCAGGGGCCACAGGTCAATCAAGATGTGTTGTGTCCTGTCCCCATGGTTGTATGACCAGACATTTATTTCATCATGGTAGCTGTTCAGATTTATCACACATAATTTACCATTGGTAAATCTGTGTCCAATATTCCTGATGCTTTCTTAGCTTGCACAGAGCTAACAGGACAAGCTCTAAGCATTTTTCCAGAGACTGAGATGGTGCCGACTGGACATAAGCACTCCTTCTTGCCTCTCTTAAAAATGACCATGTGTTAGTCCGTTTCTAGTCTGTTTGTAGATTTTGTGTGGTAAATGTTTTTCATAGATAATACACAATTGCCTGACAAGCATGTCAGCTGTGTCTCTTAGCAACCTTGAGTGTAACCCATCTGGCTCTGCATCTGAATACATCCAGCTTTCAGCAGTTGCTGGCCCTACTCCTGCTTATCCCTATCCTTCCCAAACACCACTGGTACAAGCAGAGGTCGGTGTGCAAGCAAGCTCTGCCTGTGAAGACTGGGGCAAAAGAAGTGTTGTGCACTTCAGCCTTTTCTATATCATCTATGACAAGCTCATCTTCCCCTTGTGAGAGACTGAAATGTTAATGACTCAAACAATTGGCCATTTTCAAAAACAGCGAGTGCTTTGCTTAGGCCAAAGTTTGCACCCCTCAGCCGAAGGGGAGGAGGAGAGGTTTAGGGGTGGTGAAACCTCTGATCTGCATAAGAACAGGCCAGTGCAGAGAAGGGATTAGTATCCACCCTGGAGGAGGACCATGACAAACCAACTTTTGTTTAACAACAAGCTGAGTTTTGAGCCAGGTAAGGGGAAAGGCTGATAAGAAGCAGGTCCTGTGGAGGCAGGATAATGCTTTTTATCATGCTAATTTCCTCCCTTACAAAACTGGCTCAGGTGTAAAAATCCTTCCCCCCCCCCCCCCCCCCTCCCCCCGCCGGGGAAGATATCATAACATTCACATGTAAGCCTAAAGATATTCATCACTTCTGATGGGGCATAACTGGCTCAACTACACTGATTTGAGAGGCAGCTGTCAAGTCTTCTCTCTTAGAAGGTGTCATTCTTTATATAAGTGTCACCTATATACTTTCTTAAGTGATACTTTTGTGCTGATGTATTTCTATAGATAATAACCAGAACAGCTACATACCTACTTTCCATTGCAACCAAGTTATTGTACAATAAACCTGCCCTATATATGTGTATAAACCCTGGTCATTCAGTGTCATTTCACTCTAATCCACCCCAAGGGATCTATTAACAAGAGCGTCAGTTATCTGGCTTCAGGGGCAGGTCATAGCACCCCTTCAATGGATTGATGCACATTTTCACTTCTTTACGATACTTCCATACTTCTAAAATTCCCTCTCATTATCCTATATGTCTGTTGCTAGTTTTAGCTCCAGTTGACCTTTGGCCTTTTTGTTTTGAAGGAAAATAAAAGGTGAAAACAAGCCATGTCAAGCACTGAGTGTTTCATTTAACAAATATTTATGATTTTTTTCAGGAGCCTGTGATTCTGAAGAGTGCCCAGTCGTCATGGCTCATACTACTATTTATGTGGGGTGCACTGTTCCTCAGTTACTGAAAGGTGCTAGCAGAATTTTTCCTTCTCATTCTGCATTGGGAGTGTTGAGGCACTCTGCTTTTTATTACTGCACAGTGAACGGGTATGTTATCCACTTCCTTTTTTCTTTTGAGACAGTGCCATGGTAACACTGCCAAAATCAAGCTGACAAAGTACTACAGACCTATAAATACTTAATTTAACTCCCAATTATATATTTATATTTAATTCTTATTTAGATTTATGTCATCTGTAGTCTGGATTACACTGGTAAA